AGGGGCTGCAGGCTCGCGGGTCCCCGCGCATCCGCGGACGTGCGGCTTGGGTGCAAATCCTGTTTCTCTGGGCGCAGGCCACGCGGGGACGGAGGAGGCAGAGAGGACGGGCAGTCATGGAGAAACGGGAGAGAGGAGCCGGCCGAGCGTCACCGCCACCACCATCACCATCACCACCATCACCACCATCCCTGACCGCCGCCCATCCCACCCCCAGCCTCATGGCCCATCTCATCTCCCTGCAATGCCAACTTATCAGACACTGTCCTTGTCATCGGGTAACACTCTGAAAAAAATTATGGAGTGAGCCAAATTAGGAATAAGTACCTCTGCTGTGCGCCATTCATCTTGGGGTGGCCACTTACCTACCTCAGTTTTCCCATCAGGAAAAGGGACACTGCGAGGCTTCGTCCCTCAGTCAGACCGAGAAGGTTTGGTGGCTTTCAGATTTTCTAAGGCTGGCGCTGGAAGAGACCTAGATGTAACAACTCTATTGGTAATAATGAGGAATATGATGGTAATGTCCTCATTAGATTAGATAATTGGGAGTTTAAAAACTTTCTCTCTGATCTTTGGGTGTCAAAAAATACCAACAGTAAATCAAAAATAAGAAAAGTCAAACTTCCACTACACTATTGCTCAATAGAAGCAAAAAGATTCTTTTGTAGGAAAACCATTCCAGAAAACTGAGGGCAGTAACTTTGATCGGATGTGTGGAAAACGCTGTTTAGTGCCAAGTGATTGTGTGGTGCTCATTATTTTGGATGCGTACAGTGTCCCTGGGTGTTTTTCACCCTACCTGGAAAATGTTTTGATTACTGCATTTCAAAACTGGCTTTCACCCTTGGAAGGGACTGCTGACCAGCCATCTCCACAGAGATTTCAGGAATGTTAGGAAGTCCTGGCATGGGGACCTTCTTTAGAAAAGCAAAACACAGAAAACAAGCTTCTAAACCCACCACCTTTCTCTAGAAAATGAACCCTGAATTTCCATGTTTTATGTTTTGTTCTAAGAAAGACTACTAGACCATTCTGAATTTCTTGACAAGATGGGAATTTTTTCTTCCCCGCAAATCACCATATCATGTCTCCTCATTAATGGGACTGTAAAGGCCCACAGGGCATAGTTTGCCTTATGTCTTCATTTCTTCAGTGCAGAAAACAGTAAGTGATAATATTAAAAATAGTGTGGACCCAGCTGAGCTGCAGTTGTCATTACCATAGTTTAAGATCTCAGATGTTGAAGTATAATTACACATCATTAACTCAAACCTCCCTAATTTGTGAAGCAGGATTTTAAAATAGTATATGTAATTTTTTGGAAAATGACTTTGAAGTAATTTCTTTTCCTAAAAATATTTCAGGGCCTCAAGTTTAAGTAAGGAATTTAGTCAATCTAAAATAATCACATTTCAGACACAGATTCAAATACTAACTTCACTGTTTTAAATTCCAGATCTTTGAGATATATTTAGCACCTTAAGAAAGCTTTATGTCTTTGTATCTTAGTTCATCCTGGCTGGAGTTGCTATAATAAAATCATAGGGTGATTTACAGACTGTAGAAACATAGTGCTCATGGTTCTAGAGTCCAAGATGGCAGTGTCTGGGGAGGGTTTGCTCCACTTTGTAGATGTCTTCACATGGCACCATGGACAAGAGGCTTCCTTGGGCCTCTAATTTTTGAGACAGTCTCCCTTTGTTGTTCAGGTTGATCTCAAACTCATCATCCTCCTGCCTCTGCCTCCTGAGTAATTGTTACTACAGAGGCATGACTTCTGGCTATGGGCCTCCTTTATAAGGGTGCTAATCCCATTCTTGAAGGTGAGCTGTCATGACATAATTCCTTTCTAAACACCCACCTCTTAATCCTACTGCAGGGGGGAAAGGGCTAAAATAGAGTTTTGGAGGCACACAAACATTCAGACCATAGCAAGTTGTCATTGAGTTTTATAGTTGTTGTTGTTTATATAAGAATTGGACCCAGGGGCACTTAATCACTGAGCCACATCCCCAGCCCTTTCTGAAATATTTAGAGACAAGGTCTCACTGAGTTGCTTAGAACCTCACTAGGTTGCTAAGGCTGGCTTTGAACTTGCAGTCCTCCTGCCTCAGCCTCCTAGGTCACTGGGATTACTGGCATGTCCCACCCTGCCTGGCTATTGAGTTCTATTATTATTATGTCCCACATGAATGATTTTAGCCCATGTTATTTTTTATATCTCCATATAAATCATACTATAATTTAAAATTATTCATTCATTTTGGCTTGTTTTATTTTTTGGTAGTGCTGGGAATCAAACCCACGGCCTCATACATGCTGTACCATGGAGCTAATCGCCCATCCTTCATTTGGTTTTATTGAGGTATTAGCTTCATACACAAAATGCATAATTCTTCATGTACAGCTTGAATAATTTTTACCTGTGTATATATCCTCCTATAACCTCCGAGCACAAAAGGGGCAGAATATTTCCATCATTCTAGAATATTCCTTAATGAGCCTTCCCTGTTAGTATCCTTCAGACATAACCACTACTTACCTTCTATTAACATATAAATTTTGTAAAATAATTTCTAAATAACGTTTCACATTTTGACCCATTAAGTTAGTTGGCCTCATCCTTCAGCGTTTCTGACTGAGTCCTCTCCTGGGCCGGTGACTGCAGACGTGAACTTGTCCTGCGTACATGCGTGGCACTAATTAAACAAGCAAGGGCGAAACCTGGCGCGGATGCGGAGGGTCTGAGGAGCCAGGGAGGCCTTAGCTAAACCAGTTTGGTTTTGTTTGATGGCGTAACTGGAAGACTTATGGAATTTTTAAGATTGGAAAATGAAAAATGGGTAGACGTTAGCCAGGTAAAACATGGGTTAAGAGGAGAAGGGTAGCACTACTCCAGGTGGAGCATCTTGAATCATGGCTCAGAAATAAAAGCATGGAGTACAGAGGACGAGGAACAGAAAATGAGTTGAGGATGCTCCGTGTGGGGGCTGAGGACTGCGGCAGGAGGAGGGACCATCACAAAGACCCAAGGCCCTGCTGAGGGGCAGGGCTGTGCTCTAAGAGCGAGGGGACTGACATGGTGGGCATGGGGGAGAGACAGCCCAGCACTGGCTGGATGCTGGTGGACCAGGGTTGCAGGAGGACCTGCGTGGAGCTTGTATGGGTGTGCAGATGATGGACGGGCACCTTGCCTAGGCGTAGCAGTGGGAATGGAGTGAAGATTTAGAAGGCAAAATGAACAAATCTCTGAGGGGCAGGTTCGAGGTCATTCTTCGGTCTTAGGAGATGGATGGGTAATACCTTTGGAAATATGGAGGAAGAATCAGATTGATATTATTTGATTTTTAAATTTTTTAAAATTGCTGATAATTGTGTATAACAAGGGAGTGCAGTGTGATAATTCAGTCAATTAATATAATGTTCAATGATCACGATGATTAGATATTTGCTTTGGGAGCATTTGAGTTCCTCTCCTCTAGCTTTTCATAAATATCTAAGGGACTGTCATGAAGTAGAGTCATGCTACTGTGCTAGCAAACACTAGCATTTATTCCTCTTATTTGACTGCAGTTTGGTACCCATTCTGCAGCCTCCCTTCCTTTCCTCTGATCCATCCCTCCGTGAAGACATTTTGGTCAGGAGCGAGCATATGGAACACTTAGGTAGAAAGATCTAATAGGAAGTGGGAACAAATGTTGGGTGTGCATGTTCCACATGCCAGGCATGCTGTGTCGTTTGGAATGCAGTCACCAAGAAGACCCTAAACCCTGCCATGGTGAATCACACTGCCCGGAGCCACAGTCCAGGGAACCAGCAGGTTAACATGAAAAGTGAAGACTTCAGTAAGATCGCTCAGTTAGACTTCAGTAAAAGCAGTGGCCTAGGACAAGATCCCTAGGAGCCCCAAGAGATAAGAAGGAACTGAGAATGGTTAACAGGGACAGCAAGAGAGGCTGGGCTTCAGAGGTGGAGGGAGAGGTCCCTGGTGTCCCACACAGCTGAGAAGTTAAAGAAACTGAGGTCTAGAGATGATCTGTTGTGAGGCTTTTCAAAGTGGGTTCTCCAGACCAGCAGTGGCAGCATCAACCCTGGAACTTGTTAGAAATGCAAATTCTTGAGCTCCACCCAGGCTAACTTCATCTGAAACTCTCGGGGTGGGACCCAGTAATCTGTGTTGTAACAGTCCTTCTAGGGAATTTTGATGCACACTAGAGTTTGAAAATCACAGCTCCATTGCATTCATTGATCAAGAAGTCATTGGTGACTGGGAAATTTGGTGAATGTATTTTCGTAGAGGTTAAACCCAGTTTGAGAATTAAAAAAAAAAAAAAAGAAAATCTTCAGCAGGAATGTTAAAGCTTTTTAATTTTTCAGTTTTGATTAAGAAATTTCAAATGTTTTATTTTCTTTTGCATGGTTGGCTTTCTTTTTCTTCTATTTTACCAGCTATTTGATCATTGATTCATATTTTGTTTCACTCTGTTCTGACTTTTGAAGTTTTTTTTTTTTTTCTTATCTACTTTGAAACACAGGGTCTCAACACAGGGCACCTGCATCATTGATCTGGTTCACCACCTTTGACTCTGAAACTGAGGAATTGAAATACCAAAACATAGAGCAATCATGAAGATAGGTGAATCTCAGCTGCCTGAGAAAACACCCAGAGAGTTAAGTTAGCTCTTCCAAAAAGTTGCAAGACTCTATTAGGGATAGATTTCTAACAATTTGAAAACTCGTTATTCATGAGAGATAATTGGAAGTGTGCCCTTTTCATCTCAAGTGATCCAACAACGTAACCACAATTATTGTATTTCTGATGTACTTATGAAGGAAAAGACTCTTATTAACTAGGTCTTTTCCTGATCCTTTTGTTGATGGCCTCCCTATATCTTGTTGCAATTGATAGGAAGAATTAGAGCATATTGCTTTGTTTTGCTATCACCATGGGAAAATAAATGGTAATTGAAGAGAAACTGATAACAGATATTACTTCTATTGCTATCCATGCCCAAAATGAAAACTTGGCTGTTTATAAGAATAAAATCTGGTAGGCAGTCCAGCACACTCTCTAGCAACACACACAAAGAAGGTCCCCAAAGGTTGAGTGAATAGATGGGGGGGTGGGAGGGAGGGTGCATGGATGGATGGGTACATGAATGGACAAAGAATGGATGGATCAATGGATGGATAGATTAATGAGTGGGTGGACGTATGGATGAGGAGATAAAAGGATAGATGTGAATATAGGTATGGAAGGGCACATGAAAGAATGGATAGGTGGATGAATGAATGGATGGATGAGTAGGTGGAGGAATCAGTGCATAAGGGGGTGGATGTCTGGATGGGTAAATAGATGGTTGTTGGAGGAGTGGATAAAAAGATGGTGTTGGAGAGTTCTGCCTAAAGAGGGAAAGGCAGTGTTTTGTTTTAAATATATTGTTTCTCTTGAGTAGGGTAAAGTGAGCTGAGCTGAAAATTTAAAGGTTTTAGAGATGCTACCACTCATTTCTAATGTTATCTTATATTAGTTCTCTAGCATCTCTTACTCCTCCTGTTGGTTTTGAGATTAGGACCAAATAGTATAATGACCATAAGCACGTTGTTGAAACTGCAAAGTGCCATCGGAATGTAAAGACTGTTTGTTCTGTGTGGTTAGATAATGAAGTGTGGTTTGGGGGTGCTTTTGCTCTTCTCTGGGGATATCCTGGGAATGCTATGTGTGTACAAGACATTGGCAAGCTCTCTTCATTGAGGAGGAGCCTACTCCTGTCTGCAATGGGTGTGATACAGTGATCTTGGCTGAATGAATATGGTGTTGTTCTATTTATGGTTTGTGGGTTGGAAGCACACCTTACCAGAATGTCAAATCTGCCATTTATTGATGAAAGCAAGATGAAAATATACACAGTTAAATGTGATACAAAGATAAATACTAGAAAAATAATAGCGCGGGTGAGAGTTAACTCTCTATGGCAAAAGTTGTGAAGGCAGTGGACACCAATGGGACTAACTTCTGGTCACCTCAAGCTTAATGTATCCAAGAGCGAGATGCATAAATGTAACCTGAAGCTAATTGCGAACATATCTTGAGAAATTTGTTTTATAAGCCAAGGACAAGCCAGGGGCACACTATTTCCACTGACCTGATGGGCCAGCTGGTGTGTTCACTGACGGGAGAGAGCCGTCACAGCATTGTCTGTGCAAGCCGATTCTCTTAAATAGGTGTTGGTATTGCCACTTTTACGGATGAGGAAGCAGGAGCAGTACTCCCTCTTGAGACCTGCTGTGGTTTGGATGTGGTTAGTCTCCCAAGGATTCATATGCTAGAAGCTTGATCTCCACTATGGGATGTTAGGAAGTGATGGGACCTTAAAAGGAGGGTTCTAGTAGGAGCTATGAGACCAGCTCCTCCCCTCTCTCTGGCTGCCCGTGTTGCCCTGAGATCTTTCCCTCTCATACACACCATTGTGATACCATCCACCATGAGGTCCTCACCAGAATCAACCTAATGCTGGCCCCATACTTTTGAATCTTCAGAACTGTGAGCTAACCAAACCTCTTTTCTCCATAAAGTACCCAGTCTCGGGTATTTTGTTATAGTAACATAAAATAGACTAACACAAAACCACAGAAGAAAGAACTCAATTCAGATGTTTTGGCAAGTCAAGTTTTCTTTTCACTTGAGAACGTCTCATAATAAAGCTTTCAGTAAATTGTAGATCATAGCCCAGAAGTGTCAGCCTGTGAATCTTGTTTACATGTTGATTCCTTTGAAGAAACTTCATAGGTGGAAATGGGAATATAACTTGCCAGTTGACAGCAAAGACTTCAGATCGGTGGAAATGGGATCGTAACTTGCCAGTTGACACCCAGTGCACACAATACTCAAAAAATACAGTGTGCTCCCCCCAAGTGCTGTTGATTCTGGCACAAGTGTGCGAGTCTCCTACTCAAACTTGAGTTGCATATTAAAGCAAATTTGAACTTTGAGCTAGCACCTCTGGGTTGCATTCATGGGGTACATTCTTCCATTGGGGGTCTCAAAAGTGTGAAGGCATGAAGCTTTTTAGCAAAGAAAGAGTTGACATTTTCAGGAGTGTCATCTATAGTAAGTCCCTGTAAAACTTACTCTTCTAGCTAATTCATGGGAAGAAAACAGATGCATTCATTTATAATCAATGTATTCATACTTCTTACAAGCATTTGTGGAATTTTTTTTTATTTTAAAGTGAAATACTACATCCATTTATTCCAAAAAATGAAATTTCCTGGGTAAGGCATCTGTAATACTACTTCTGGTATCATAATTCTAAAAAATGGTTAGGTAGTCAGTCACCTTTGTCAATACATTTAGGTATTAAAACAAGGATTGTTCATGATATATATTGTGAAGAGAGATAAATGGGCCAAATGCTGAAACATGCATGACTACTAACAACATGAGTATTTAATGAAAATTTAGAATATAATAACACATGACTTTCATTCTGAGGACAGACATAAAGGAAAAAATACAGTAATCCATTTTACCCATTACATTTTACAAAACGAGACAGTGAATTTCTAAGCAGTGCTCCTTTAATAAAAACAGTAATTTAATTTCAAATAAATATATTACCATTTTATTCCTTTATCTTTTATATGTATGTGATTGGCAAAAACTATGAAATTACTAAAATCAGTAGCAATCTAATCTATGATATTTCATTTGCCTGGATCAATAAATGTCTTACATTTGAAACTCATTTCTCTCATATTAAAAGTCTGATTATCAGTTCCTATAAAAATGCTGTGCCCTACTCCTTAGTCTCGTGGGACTGGTAATAGAACAAGGTCAAGTGCTAGTACTTCTGAACACCCACATGATTCCTCATGACATGTGCTCTTGGCTCTTGTCATACACAACCACCAACAGGCAAGCAGCTCCCCTAGTTCTCTTGTTCTTCATAGTGAGCATAGCCACTGGCATAGGTCCTTCCTAAATTCAAATTAGTAAATAAATCAGATGATTCAGCATCTGAATCCTTTCCACCTTCATCTTCTTCCTCTTCGTCATCCTCTGCGTCATATTCATCATCATCCTCATCACGGTAGCCTGCATCACTGTACTTGTCGGATGAAAGGTTCTTCCAATAAGCATCATAACCAGAAGCTCCATCCCCCTCTTCAACTCCAGTCTGACGGCCAAATTTCAGTGAGCGTG